TACTATGATGGGTTCTCTAGGTATCATAGGGGAGTCAAAGGAGGGAGGTCTAGGGGAGATTATCATTGCAATGGAAGATAATTACCTTTAATCCAGGCAGTTAACAGCACTTTCTTATTATAGCGCATCTCCATGTAAGCTTAGATATAAAACTTAAGAGTTCTTTATAAATAACAGACATTTGTGTTAATATTATAAAAGGTAAATTTGGGGACAAAGCATAAAATAAGTTTATCTACTGACAAACACACAACACAAAAGTACAAACCAAAATGCTGTAATCCCATAACTTGGGGGTTGGGGTGTGGATATCTCAGCACCTTTTAATTACCTAACAATACAACCAGCACTGAAAAAGATAATAGGATTTCAGCTTGATCATCTCTTTAAAGAGATCATATTTTAACAGTATGCAACTTCTCCTGAGTTAAGATGGAAATATATGTTCTGCTTATCTTCTCTAGACCCAGGAATACAATGTATTTTGGGGAAAAACTGAAAAGGCATTCTAGTACTTATATTTAATATCAGTGTATCATGTAACACTGCTGCTTACTCACTTCTTGAGTAAGTGAGTTTTTGATTCCAAGATACTATTTCCTTTTGGTTTTCCCTTAATCCTCTGTTTGATCCTCCTTTATTCACTCTTATTCCTTTGTCCACCCATACTGGTGTTGCTAATAATTTCATACTTTGCCTCTTCTCACGCTATACATTCTTTCCAAGTTATCTCATCTATTATTCTGCATTCACATCTACTCTCTTATAATTCCAAAACTGTTATTTTAGCCCAGACCTTTATACCTTTCCTAAGATCCAGACCTTTATATCCAACTGACTACTGGACATGTCAGCAGCTTTTTAATTGCCTTCTCTGCTTCCAGCCTTTCCAATTTTCAATCCATTCTTCACACTTATGACAGTGATTTGCACATCACTGCCAGATTTAAAAGTTTTCAATGATTCACCACTGCCTTTAGCATTAAAAAATCTAAAGTTCTTAGTATGATATGTAGGGGCCTTCAAGATCTAGTCCAATCTCATCTCTCTAAAAGTAACTGTGGTCCTCTGAACAAGTCCTCTACCCTCCTGTGCTTTTGAAAAGGTTGCTCCATATTTTTGGAAAACCCTCCTTTACCATACCTGTTAAAGGATTAATTCCACGTTTCAAAATGAGCTCAGTTGGCAATTAAATTCAATATTTATTGAGGACATTTTATATACCAGGCACTAGGTTCCTGCAGTCATGAAGTTTATATTCTTGTGTGCAGATGCACGTGTGTGTGTGTGTTATAGGGGAGTGGGGAGGCAAATAAATAAATAGGAAACTATCAACTGGTTACAAAGCTTATGATTAAAATGAAACAAGCTGATTTGACAGTGACTAGGGGAGGTTTCCTTAGATTGGATAGCTAAAGACTTCTCTGAGGAAAAGATATTTAACCTGAGATCCCCTCACGTAAGCTATTGGGTACCCTTCCTTGAACAGTTTGTTTATCAAAGCATTCATCATACCATTTTTAATTCGTATGTTTTTACTTGTGTATTTCCGTCCCTCCACATACTTAGTTATTGAGGGGAAGAACTCCGTCTTTTCAATTTCAATCTCGCTCTCCTAACACAAAGCCTGGCACATGGTTGATGTTGAATAAAGGTTGATAAAAGTATAAATTAATGAAATAAACTAGCTCTCAAATAAGGGAGTAAAAAGGGAAAGAGACCACATTTTTTCAGGACCAAACAACAATTAAATTCAGATGGGCAACAGCTGATGGTCCCAACTTCCATCCCACACACCCTAACTTCAAAAGGGAGAAAATGGATGACAGAGCTTACCCAAGCAATTTGATATGACGCTTGAATCTACTCCCATCCTCCCAAAGTCCTTCTTATGCCTTGATTCTGACTATTTTTGGTCTTTGTTTTCTTCATGCCCACAGGTTACCTCATTTTCTTCAGACATTTGTTTCCCCAGAGCCTGACTTCAGTTAGCCTGAATCTGACCTCTAGCTTTAACCACAGCTAGTAGAATCTCGGCTCTTTTTCTTTGGTATTCACAAGATAATGTAGTGATTCTTGTTTTTCCCTAGACTTACGGTCTTAGCTTTGTTTTCTGGTTTATACAAACCAAGAATGACTCTGAATTATCTACTTAGTCACATCCTGACATTATTCCCTTAAATGAATCCTGCTTTAAAATCTTGGTTTCCTTTATCCATAGTGTGACCGTATAATTCGTCATTGAAACTGGGGCTCTTTTTGAAAATGAAAAAAACATGCTTATGATAATTATAGACAGCAGGTATACACAAGGTTTTGCGGTCCCTCTCTCTATCCAGCAGTTTACTTTTAAAGAGTCTCATCTGCAACAGTGACTTCTTCTTGGCTTTCTGCTATTCTGGCCAGGCTATTCCCTTGCACTGTACCTTCCACTTGAGCTTCAGATTTGGCCCTTTCAATGCTGAGGAACTTTTCAGGATTAATCAATACCTAGTGTAGAGATTCATATGTGGAAACTCCTAGTAAGGGTAATAACATAGCTAACATTTATAGACCTTTCACTATAAGATAGGCATTGTAATAAGACTTTTATATATTTTACTGCATTCTTTTCATAACCTAGTGAAATCTCCTCCAGTTTATTAAAAAAATAAACACAGGCTTAAAGATGTTAGTTTACTCGAGTTTACTCAATGTACTTATATCTAGTACATGTAGGGTTTGCACTTAATCTCAAATCTGTCTGCCTGCAAGTGTTCACGTTCTTAAATACTACAATATAACCCCTCACTGTAAAATCTTTTACTAGAGAAAACATCAATAATTATGAATGAAATATCCATAAACCAAACAAAGCTATAACAGGGTAAAATTAATATAATCTGAATTTTAAAACTTCTTAGCATTCTTTTTTTTTTCAAAACCTATCCTTTTATTTTCTATTTGACAGTATTTTAAATAGCACTATACTTGTTCTCAATAACCAGAGGAAAAATTATAAACTTTATAATAATCTGACAGAAATGTCATTATTGATTCTCAATGATGAAAATAATTCGAAATCACCAAGAGTCATTTTCTATTGTTACCACCGTGTTCTTAGATTTCCTTTAATATAATCAGAAAAATCACTTTATCTGTTTTTTAATTGCTTTGCTTCGCTTATTAACAACTTTCATAACATCTATTTCCTACATTAATGGGTCTCCAAAAGTTTGGAAGTCTATACCCCAACAGTAAAAAATTCTGATCATGTGCTCCTCAATAAATGGATATTAGAAATTACATACATACGCTACAGAACACATTCCTAAATAGAAATAAAAACTATGAAATTAAAAGTAAACATAGGGCTTCCCTGGTGGTGCAGTGGTTAAGAATCTGCCAATGCAGGGGACACAGGTTCGAGCCCTGGTCTGGGAAGATCCCACGTGCCACAGAGCAACTAAGCCCATGCGCCACAACTACTGGGCCTGCGCTCTAGAGCCCGTGCTCCACAACAAGAGAAGCCACCGCAACGGGAAGCCCGCGCACAACAAAGAGTAGCCCCTGCTCACCACAACTAGGGAAAGCCCGTGGGCAGCAACGAAGACCCAATGCAGCCAAAAACAAATAAATTAATTAAAAAAGAAAAGTAAACATAAATCCAGGGCTTCCCTGGTGGCGAAGTGGTTAAGAATCCGCTTGCCAATGCAGGGGACATGGGTTCGAGCCCTGGCCCGGGAAGATCCCACATGCCGTGGAGCAACTAAGCCTATGTGCCACAACTACTAGGCCTGTGCTCTAGAGTCCGCGAGCCATAACTACTGAGCCCACGTGCAACAACTACTGAAGCCTGTGTGCCTAGAGCCCGTGCTCTGCAACAAGAGAAGCCACCGCAACGAGAAGCCCGCGCACCGCAACCAAGAGTAGCCCCTGCTCGCCGCAACTAGAGAAAGCCCGCGCGCAGAAACGAAGGCCCAATACAGCCAAAAATAAATAAAATAGATAAATTTATATATATAAAAAAAGTAAACCTAAGTCCTAATAATTTTCCTGTATCCCAAAGGGTTATTTACCTCATCTGCTCTCTAAAAGACCACTCTGTAAACTCATCATCTGAACTAGTGCATCTCAAATGTTAATGTGCATATGAACCCTGCTTTTAAGCAGATTCTGATTCAGTATGGTTAAGATGGGCCTGAGATTTTGTACTTCTAACAAGCTCCCTAATGACGCTAATGCTGCTCATGTGCTGAGTAACAAGAACTTGAACAAGGGATTAATGTTTAGCCAAATTTATGTTTCTATCTTCCAGGGGATAAAATATACAGCTGATTCTAAAGTCAACCTTCCATTACTGGGAGCAAAACTACTTTTTAAACCATACAACAATCATTATACACATTAACCAATAACATCAAAAAACAAATCTGAAATGTAAATAATCATCATGACTAGGTATATACTTGGTTAAACTCAGAGTATCATAAACACATTGATTTTGTTTTTATACACTTTTCTATCACCACAGACAGCACTTAATAGAAATTAAGAGAAGAAACTAAGGAAAAAGAACAAAATTGATTAAAACATGTATTTTCATCTGCTTCCAAAATGAAATTAGTAGGCAGGAAACCTTTGTTTATTATCAGTTAATGTTCATGTTTATATTAACAGAGTCATAGCAATCTGGCTTTGACTTTTAGTTTTTAAATAAATGCAAAGTGAGAATGGCCAAAGTATAGCATTTGAAAAGTCAATCTTAAATTTATACAACTTTAAAAGGTCCAATCAGCTTATACGTACAGGACTTTACATATGAAACTCGGGCAAATTCAGAATATAAGCAGAATAAAATCAGAAAGCATTTTGGTCTTATTGTTAGTCTTGCAGTTCCCTAACAAAATCCTAAAGTTTCAAGATACTGACTACATGGGAACATTTTATACTCTCTAGTAATTTCCAATAGTGATACACCACGAGAAAACTAATATCATACCCAAATTTCAATTATTTACCTTGTCAATCATTTTTCTTGCTTCCACTTCCTCACTGTTGGGATTCTCTAACTCAATGGTATAAGTACCCTTGTCACTTTGGTCATCGTCATTATCCTTTTCAGAAGCAGCAGAAGTAGCTTGATTTTTTAACATTTTATCCATCTCCTGGCTTGGTCTGTGCCCCAGACTCCCTGAACTTCTTAATAATGCAGTTTGTAGGAAGGGAATTGACACCGATGGCTCCTCTGATTTCTGTTTTAACAATTTCCCATGTGGAACACCATGCCCCCCTCTGTGGTGCGCAGAGCTAGTCTGTAAAGACAAAGAAACCACTTTGGCATCTGCTGTTGGAGATTTTGTTTTTTCAAGTTTTGTATGTGGTGCTGAATAAGTAGTTTCCTGACACAAGATTCCCGTACTGTGAGTAAAAGAATATGACCTTCTTTGTCTGGGACTGTCTTCATCAAAGAATGCAATCATAAAAGCAGTGTGACTTACAACAGCTTGGTCTTGATGCTTTTCAGTAGCCTGGGCCTTCTGTAGCTTTTTCTGTTCTGAATGGTGGCGCCTTAAGTGTTCCTCAAGAGTTGCACGTTTGCTACAGCGCCTGTGAGCCCCAGCATTTTCTGAGTCGCTTTGTGTACCATCATCATGTTTATTTCCTGGACACAAAAAAAGAAACCGCATAATAGAGAAGGAAAAAATCCCATGTAGAAAATTAGAAGCACATACAAAAGTGCTGCTTGTTTTGCCCCCTCCCCCTTTTCAATCAAAAGTCATATGTTCTTTTCAGTAACAGGCTCGGCAAACTTCCCTCAATTGCAATGCTTACATTCAAATTTTATCAACCAACAATGAGTCCTTTATAAACAACTGAATAGGATTACTTTTCTTTCTCCAAATTTTAACTTTATAATGGTTCACCAGTGCCTTAACAGATAAGCAATGCTATATCTCTGTGACAGTCTGTATTTATAACATTAAACATTAATCCTGGCTTTAAACCTTATACCTTATTTAAGCAATCAAAAATTTATTTTTAGCATTAGAGAGAAAAAGACAGAAAAAAGTGTGATCCCACTGAGGTGCTTATCATTACATAGGAAAAGAGAATGCAAATGCCATAAAAATGTGATGAAACTTAACTTTCAGTGACGTTCAAAACTTCCAAAAATATAGCACACCTTGCCTTTTTAATATAAAAATGCAAATTTGTAGTTTCCACCAATTATTGTATAATTCTTTACAAACCTCTTTCTAGCTATGAGAATTTTCGCAATTTTGCATGTGTGCTCATTTAAACTCTGGTGGCTTCAGCGAGTTAAAGAAAGCATCCTAAAAGGCCTAGCATGGAAAAGCGCAGTCTATGAAATCCTACATAAATCTACCAGACAAATGGCATGGTGCTAAATATAACTAGATAAAAATATGTCTTCTCTGTTAAGCATATAGAGCGAGTGAAGTTAGAATACTGTAGTTGAATTCTGAAAACATCAGCTTCCTACCAGAGGTTTTTTTGTTACCCTTCATAGTTCTACTAGGGATTAAATATGAAACTTTATAAAAATTACTTGATTTTTCACTGATGCAGAATTCTTATTATCTAAATAATAAGTATACTAGAAGAAATAATCAAATGACAATTATTATAGCATGAATTTAATGGAAAGTCAAGAGTTATTCTATGCATGTTTTAGATTGAATCACAAATGAGGGCTGAATCACAAATGAGGGCTTAAATGATAGCTCTTTAGAAGAAAGCTATAAATTACTCCAGTCAACCACGTGTATTCCAATATTTCCAGGACTAAATCTGAAAATCTTTCTTCAAACTAGCAACTACTGAAAATGCAACCTGAAAGGAAAAAAATGGTGTTTAATTTAATTAATGGAATTCGTGCCTTGGTAATTAAGCTAGGAATCAGGGATAGGCAGATGGAATGCAGAACCAAACAAAACTACTAGTTCAAATACAAAACTCATTAAAAACAGGACACTGTACAACCTATTTCATGTTGCACTGGATGCACTGAAAAGGAATCCAGTTTGTGAGAGCTGTAAATAACTAAACTCCCATATTTCATGTGTAGTAAGACCAGATAACCCATATTACACACATATACAATATGAAAATGCCATCTTTACAGAATTTAGTTCTTATAACACCATACAAAAATTTGGCACTTATTTGGCATCAGGTCCTTTCAGTATCTTTTCTTTAAGTTATAGGTTAAAAATTCTCTATAGATTAGCCATTTTCTTTTTTCAAAAATTATTATTCTTTTTGCATTTCTCAGTGTTATACAAGATAACACATCTGATCAGAACTGCAATTTTTGTTCTTACTTAACAACAACAAAAAATCACTTGGAACTGTTCTTAACAAGATTCTGTTTTGTCTATTATTAATCAGGCATTAATATGTTGAAGTTCTTTCAGCATTTTTAAAATTTTTTTTGCGGTACGCGGACCTCTCACTGTTGTGGCCTCTCCCGTTGCGGAGCAAAGGCTCCGGATGCGCAGGCTCAGTGGCCATGGCTCACGGGCCCAGCCGCTCTGCGGAATGTGGTATCTTCCCGGACCGGGGCACGAACCCGTGTCCCCTGCATTGGCAGGCGGACTCTCAACCACTGCGCCACCAGGGAAGCCCACTTTCAGTATTTTTAAGGGTAGATTAGCTGTACCTAGTCAGGAGTTGTGGCCAAAAAACGTTGCAACTCTCCTAAAGGGTAAAAGTGTATGGGATTTGTGAACATTATTTTCTTTAACTGTCCCAAAGCGCGTGCACTCCACTCTTGCAGGAGCAAAGCTGTTTTGTTTTGCCTACTTTCAAGTTTTTGACTAAACAGTTGCTGAAAGTCTATTATTAAAGTACAGTTATAATAAAAGGGTGTAATAAAAGTTTTTTGTTTTTCATTTGTTTTCTTTTTTTTTTTGCCACACTGAGTGGCATGCAGGATCTTAGTTCCCCCACCAGGGATGGAACCCGTGCCCCCTGCAGTGGAAGCACGAAGTCTTAACCACTGGAACTCCAGGGAAGTCCCATAAAGGTACTTTTTAATGGTGGCTTTTAAAAGGACATTTTAGCTCATTTTTGTACATTTATTAAGGGTGGTCTAAAAAAGACGATGTCGTTTCTAAATTTTCAAAGTTCACACTACTTTTTACATTATACGAGGATATCAGTATTATTTTATTCAATGCATAAAAATGATCAATTTACAAATGGGTAGCTTTCATTTGTGAGCTTTAACCTATATATATCAATACAGATATAGGTCTCAATTATATATTTGTTATTATCTAGTAGGAGTAAAGACAACAATCACCTGTTAAAAGTTCATATGCCAGGTAATAATTGCTTATGATTATAATTAAATATAGAAATAGGCCCTGACAAAGAATTAGGTAATCACACCATCTCACTATCCTGAAATGCCTTAGAAGTAAATCAGAAATAGGTATTTCTTCATTAGCTGAACAGAATCCCAAGCCATAAAGTACAGGTTAAACCAGGGTCAGTCTTGTCAATGATAGTGAAGCCATTCATTGTTTATTCCAATTACTGAGTACCTGTCACATACTCAAGTCCCAGGAAAGAGATATAAGGTAAGTAAATATATAATCTCTGACCTCAACGAGTGTTCTTTTAAAGCTCTTTAACTTTTTGTGTAGTAACAGAATGGTCAGATTAACATGCAATCTTTTCCCTTACAGGCAGCTTGTTGAATAAAATTAAGATAGAGTAACATAAAACTGTATTCAGAAAATTCTAAATTAATTTAATTAGCAAAATCAATGGAAAAAATGATCAGTTGATACTTCGATGTACAGGTGTAAAGAAAGAATTTACTAACTTTCGTCAAGTATTATACTAATAAAACACATATAATAATTATTTCACAAATAAACGTTCAACTACAATTTTTATAAAAGTCTTACTAGTGAAAAAATTCTTAACTCAATTAATTCCCAATATCTCTAAACAAAAAAATTTTTGTTTCATGACATGAGTAACCTGAGAAGAGTTTGAAACACTCTACCAACAATGTGACTATATTACCAAAGTAGAACTGTCAGCCCATTAGCCAATGGCTTAAAACTTTCAAAAAATCTACATACTGCTATTTTACAGGAAGCACATAATAGAGAACAGAATTGAATATATCTTTTCCTGAAGTCAAGAAAATGATGAGAACTGCCTTCTAGGGAATTCCACTGGTGAAATGAATGAATCTTTTATTTCCATAAGAAAAAGAAACATATTTAATGGCATACATACAAATTTACAAAACCAATCTGGTTTTGGCAAGAAAATGAAGGCAGACTGTTTTGAATGAGTAAGTTGGATGTGGGCAGTTTGGCTGGCTTTTGAGCTTTAAAATCAAATATAAACCTTCAAAAATGCAGAAGCTTTATACCATATAATTGTTTATCTAATAGTAGGTTGGTAACTGTGAAGACTGAACTTTACCATAAAATAGCAAGTTCTAAAATGATCAATTCACTTTACCTTTCAACCTTTTTAAGTAAACTGGAACATCACTTTTAATACTTTTGGAATCCTCTTCTGATCTTTCCCATACCATCTGAGGAGGGTTGTTCTGTGCTAGCCAGTCAGCTACTTTGTTTTCTGGTGCCATCATTCCAGTTTGAATCCCTGGCAGGTCTTGAGTTCCAGGAGAAGACTTCTTTGATTTGTGGCGCTGATCAGAAGTAAATTTTGTCACATGATCTCTAATAGTTACTTTCCCTGGGGTACTGTCATCAAATTCAATGGTAAATGAAGCATGCCCTGCACCTGTTGTATGAGAACTTGGTGTGTCTTTTGTTGGGATTTCATGAATAGTGCTCTCTGTTATTTGTGATGGTTGCTGAAATTCTTTTGTAGGGATTTCAAAATAACTTGGTTCCCTACAGAAAGGAAAAAGTACTTCTTCATTTGCAGCTGCAGATTGTTCCTCAACTTGCTTGGCATCTATGCTGCACCCTAATAAGAAAAATAAGAGAAAATTCAAAATATTTGGAAGCTTCTAGCACTTGAAGGAGTACAGTAATGGCCACTTGTGTTATTCCATGGAAATCAGAAGGCAGATCATAGTCTGGATGAAAAAGAATGGCAAATGTCACAGAAGAGAAATAATTCTGATTATAAATGTAGCATTCAGTTACCAATAGGAGATGCAAGATAAGCAGCCAGTGGCAAAGGATAGCAAAGCAGTTAAGAGATGAACCTTGCATGGCTAGGTCCATATTTTTTCCAACTTGGATCCAGAAATCATCAAAGTACAAAAGAACTGAAATCAAATGGAGATGGATATGCATGTTCAATGTACATATACAGAGAGATAGAAAAAAATATAAACTTCCTTATCAAGTATAAGGAGGATGAAATATCTGAAATATCTATGAAAACAAGTAAATTTCCAAAGGAGAAGAGGTGCTCAAATGAAGAAAGAAACATGACGTCAATATGTAATCAATGTTCTGGACATAATGATTCCACTTACCATTCTTCACCATCACATTCAGAGACATTACTTTTAGAAGGACAAAAATAATATTACCAATGTGTGATCCTTATAAGAAAATAGATACATTTTATAAAGAATGAAAGAATTAGTAAAGATAAAACATGTGGTTTGCTTGTGGCATTGCAATCCAAGCAGCAGTATGAAAACAAGTAAGTTAAAAATAGACAATTCAGTTGCCAGCCAATTAATTCCAAAAGGAAATTCAGGTACATTTCTATACAGCAGAATACATCCAAGTGTCAAAATCAGTGGAGGAAAGCTGAATTATAAATCTCAGATCAACAAGAGCTGGCATAAGTAAGCAACTCTGGAACACTATTCCTCTGTTGCCTCAGGGACAAATATGAAGGCATAAAAACAAATGCATTTATATATAAAATATGTGAAGGCACATAAATGAAAATGATAACTGAAATGCTTTAAATCTGTTATCAGATACTGCAAATGCAAAAAGAATTTAAAGATTAAACTGCCCTGTTTTTCAGGAAACAAAAGAACTATTATCAAGATGGTAACACATATATATGGAATTTAAGAAAAAAAATGTCATAAAGAACCTAGGGGTAAGACAGGAACAAAGACACAGACCTACTAGAAAATGGACTTGGGGATATGGGGAGGGGAAGGGTGAGCTGTGACAGAGCGAGGGAGAGGCATGGACACATATACACTACCAGGCGTGGGGTAGATAGCTAGTGGGAAGCAGCCGTGTGGTACAGGGAGACCAGCTCGGTGCTTTGTGACCACCTAGAGGGGTGGGATAGGGAGGGTGGGAGGGAGGGAGATGCGGGAGGGAAGAGATATGGGAACATATGTATATGTATAACTGACTCACTTTGTTATAAAAAGAAACTAACACACCATTGTAAAGCAATTATACTCCAATAAAGATGTAAAAAAAAAAACAAAAAAAAAGATGGTAAAGAGTGAATTCAAATGAAAAATATTTCCCTAAAGCTCAAAAAAGCATTCCTTTTAAAAAGAGATTGACAGAAACACCATTTGCAGATAACTTATTAGGAAGGAAAGGCAATATGGGGGGGACGAGGTTGTTTCTAATCATTTTCTAATTAAGTGAAGTATTGGTCTTGACACATTTTTTCAAATATCAAATACGAATGGGATTCTTCAGGTGCTATAATCAGTTTCTTAGCAATAGGGTGAATATGAAATAGTCATAAAGCTGTTTGCTTTTACGTTACAGAAGAATAGGACAGCAACATCTCTGTAGTCAAATGTGTGGCATAGGGTATTAGAAGACATCAAGTTCCACTTCCAAAAAAAAAAAAAACAGTGAAAGCAAATTACACAGACAGTAAATAGAATATATAACAAAAACAATGTTCAACATAAAAATTATCCTTTTCAAAATCTACTTTTTCTCACTACTGAAAATGAAAAAAGTGTATCAAAAACACTCTGCACTATGAAAGCAATAATTCTACACACTTTCTGGAGGAAGAGCATATACAGGATTCTTAATAACCTAAGTCACGTTTTAAAAATTTCTTTATTACAGAGTTCATTTATCTTTTCCTTAAAGTATCCACTTGAGTGTTTACTCTGAAGGCCTGTCACTTAAAATTTCCATGAGAGTAATATGCATTAACTACTTTACATATATTAATAAACTCATTAATGTTTTTATTTTTTCAACATTGATTTATTTACTATGTCCTGTACTTGATCAATTTCATACAGTACAACTGGTTTACAAACATATCCTACTGGCTCTGATGCTTGCTCAACTTTGGTAAGTGATTTCTTGCAATTTTCAGTACCTTTAGGAGAATCTACTTTACTATAAATCTCCTAATAGTCACTTTTCAGCTGTATTCTATTCAGAATCAAACCTGTTAGACCTGCCTTCTGCTGACTTCTCAGCTTCCGTTCTATCCTTCTTGGATGGCCGTGTGGCTGACAGGGTCTTGGCGCTCAGCCGGGTGTCAGACCTGAGCCTCTGAGGTGGGAGAGCTGAGTTCAGGACATCAGACCACCAGAGACGTCCTGGCCCCACATAATATCAATCAGTGAGAGCTCTCCCAGAGATTTCCATCTCAATGCTAAGACTCAGCTCCATTCAATGACCAGCAAGCTCCAGTGCTGGATACCCTATGCCAAACAGCTAGCAAGACAGGAACACATCCCCATCCATTAGCAGAGAGGCTGCCTAAAATCATAATAAGGTCACAGGCACCCCAAAACACACCACTGGACGCAGTCCTGTCCACCAGAAAGACAAGATCCAGCCTCATCCACCAGAACACAGGCACTAGCCCCCTCCACCAGGAAGCCTACACAACCCACTGAAACAACCTTAGCCACTGGAGACAGACACCAAAAAAACGGGAACTATGAACCTGCAGCCTGAGAAAAGGAGACACCAAACACAGTAAGTTAAGCAAAATGAGAAGACAGAGAAATACGCAGCAGATGAAGGAGCAAGGTAAAAACCCACCAGACCTAACAAGTGAAGAGGAAATAGGCAGTCTACCTGAAAAAGAATTCAGAGTAATGATAGTAAAGATGATCCAAAATCTTGGAAATCGAATGGAGAAAATACAGGAAACGTTTAATAAGGACCTAGAAGACCTAAGGAGCAAACAAACAATGATGAACAACACAATAAATGAAATTAAAAATTCTGTATAAGGAATCAATAGCAGAAACTGAGGCAGAAGAACAGATAAGTGAGCTGGAAGATAAATTAGTGGATATAACTACCGCAGAGCAGAATAAAGAAAAAAGAATGAAAAGAACTGAGGACAGTCTCAGAGACCTCTGGGACAACATTAAACACACCAACATTCGAATTATAGGGGTCCCAGAAGAAGAAGAGAAAAAGAAAGGAACTGAGAAAACAATTGAAGAGATTATAGTTGGAAACTTCCCTAGTATGGGAATGGAAATAGTTAATCAAATCCAGGAAGCACAGAGACTCCCATACAGGAGAAATCCAAGGAGAAACATGCCAAGACACATATTAATCAAACTATCAAAGATTAAATACATAGAAAAAATACTGAAAGCAGCAAGGGAAAAACAACAAATAACATACAAGTGAATCCCCATAAGGTTAACAGCCGATGTTTCAGCAGAAACTCTGCAAGCCAGAAGGGAGAAGCAGGACATACTTAAAGTGATGAAGGGGAAAAACCTACAACCAAGATTACTCTACCTAGCAAGGATTTCATTCAGATTCAACAGAGAAATTAAAACCTTTACAGACAAGCAAAAGCTAAGAGAATTCAGCACCACCAAACCAGCTTTACAACAAATGTTAAAGGAATTTCTCTAGGCAGGAAACACAAGAGAAGGAAAAGAGCTACAATAACAAAGCAAAAACAATTAAGAAAATGGGAATAGGAACATACATATCAACAATTACCTTAAATATAAATGGATTAAATGCTCCAACCAAAAGACACAAACTGGATGAATGGATACAAAAACAAGACCCGTATATATGCTGTCTAAAGAGACCCACTTCAGACCTAGGAAAATGTACAGACTGAAAGAGAGGGGATGGAAAAAGATATTCCATGCAAATGGAAATCAAAAGAAAGCTGCAGTAGCAATTCTCATATCAGACAAAATAGACTTTAAAATAAAGACTATTACAAGAGACAAAGAAGACACATAATGATCAAGGGATCAATCCAAGAGGAAGATATAACAATTGTAAATATTTATGCACCCAACATAGGAGCACCTCAATACATAAGGCAAATACTAACAGCCATAAAAGGGGACATCGACAGTAACACAATCTTAGTAGGGAACTGTAACACCCCACTTTCACCAATGGGCAGATCAACCAAAATGAAAATAAATAAGAAAATACAAGCTTTAAATGATACATTAAACAAGACGGATTTAATTGATATTTATAGGACATTCCATCCAAAAGCAACAGAATACACTTTCTTCTCAAGTGCTCATGGAACATTCTCCATGATAGATCATATCTTGGGTCACAAATCAAGCCTTGGTAACTTTAAGAAAATGGAAATAATATCAAGTATCTTTTCTGACCACAGTGCTATGAGACTAGATATCAATTACAGGAAAAAAACTGTAAAACTACTAACACATGGAGGCTAAACAATACGCTATTAAACAACCAAGAGATCACTGAACAAATCAGAGAGGAAATCACAAAATACCTAAAAACAAATGATAATGAAAACATGATGATCGAAAACCTATGGGATGCAGCAAAGGCAGTTCTAAGAAGGAAGTTTATAGCGATACAATCCTACCTCATGAAACAAGAAACATCTCAAATAAACAACCTAAACTTACAACTAAAGTAATCAGAGAAAGAAGAACAAAAAACCCCCAAAGTTAGTAGAAGGAAAGAAATAATAAATATCAGATCAGAAATAAATGAAAAAGAAATGAAGGAAATGATAGCAAAGATCAATAAAACTAAAAGCTGGTTCTTTGAGAAGAT